CTTTCAATGGAGTTTTTCATCTCCTGGAAATCTATTTGCATCTGCTTTATGGATTCCATTTGTTTCCTATGTTGGGATTCCATCATGTTCCTCAGATCCTCTCTAGATGTATTAATCATTTCTTGCACTAGGAGCACAATCTCTGCTGTTATGTGAGAAATTATTTCTGATTTCATTTTTTCCATATCCTCTTTCGTTGCTAGTTCAGGGAGTCCAGATAGTTGAGTATCAGAGTGTTCCATCTTGTTTCTTTTTGGGGTTGCTGTAGGTGATCTGGAAGTCTGGTTCTGAGGCTTGTTTACCTGTCTTCTCATTTTGATGGGTGGTGGTGGTGGAGGGTGCATGGCTCACCTCTTCTGTGCTGGGAGCTGTGGCACGCCTACCTGGAAGCCCTCCAGGCTGGAAGCCACGGCACGCCTACCCAGAAGCCTCCTCCAGGCTGGGAGCTGTGGCACAATGACCTGAAGTCTCTTTTGGGCTGGGAGCCGTGGCATGCCTTTAGAATTCTTTTCTCCGTAGGAATAACAGGAGAGCCAGATCATATAAATTAAGTCTTCAGAAAACACCAGAGTAGTGTTTCAAGAGACTAGCTCACTGGTTTACATATAAAAAAAGATGGCCGGGGATTTAGCTCAGTGGTTCCGGCGCTGTTGCGCACACGCAAAGTCCCAAATTCAATCCCCGGTACCAAAAAACAAAAACAAAAAAAAGATGTATTCTCATATTTTCTAACCTACTCTAAGAAGCCTTAGTCACAAAGCTGAAACATTTTACATAAATACAGTAGTAAAAAGGCACCCTGGACACAGTGGCACACGCCTGTAATCCCAGTACTTATGAGGCTAAAGCAGGACTGCTTGAGTTTAAAGCCAGTCTGGGCTGCATAGTTCAAAGCCTGCGTGGACTACATACCAAGAGTCTGTGTCAGAAAAACTCCAATGGAAAAAAAGGGCAAAACTAGGTGTGGAACATGATTACAATCCCAGCTACTCAGCAGGCTGAGGCAAGAGGATTAAATTTGAGGCCAATTTAAGCAAATTACTGAGAACCTGTCTCAAAAATATATAAAGATGGACCGGGGATTTAGCTCAGTGGCACTGTGCCTGCCTTACAAGTGCAAGGTCATGAGTTTGATCCCCGGTACTGGTAAAAAAATACACACACACACACACACACACACACACACACACACACACACACACATATACAAAGGAGCTGGGCATGGCAGTACATGCATATAATCCTAGCACTGGGAAGGTTGAGGTGGGAGGGCTGCCTTGAGTTCCAGGCCAGCCTGGGGTACACAGACCCTGTCTCAAAACAACACAGCACACCAAAAGGTGAGAGAGCGCCTGGTGAGCACTTCCTGGTTTGTACACTGGGTTAGTTAATCTACTTCACAGCGACAAGTCAGGCAGTGGGATCCCCTCCTTCCTTCCTCAACCAGACACCACTTCCCCTTTCCACAGGGCCCCCCCCCACCCCCAGTGTGGACAGGCAAGTCTTCACCGAGTCTTCACCTTCTGGCTTCTCTGAGCCCTGACGCTGCAGACCATCACAGTCCTACCCTGACACTTGCTGAGTTTGGAACTGGACGCATGGTGACGTGAACGCTGTCCTGGGACTCGTAGTGCCTGGGCCTTGTTGCACAATCCTGGCTGATCAATGACACGCTGCCCTCTCCATGCTCCACCTCCCTGCCACCCTCTGGCTGGCTGCTCCTCCTCTGAGGCACAAATGTCGCTCCAGGCCTCATCCCTGGCCCTCTGCTCTGTCACAGCTTGGGCCAGCAGGACTCACACTCCTGCATCCCTGGCCTGGATTTCCCAGGGCCTTGGGCAGCAACACCTTCCCCGGGGACCCTCGGCTCTGACTCATGCCCCGACTCCAGCTCCTCACACAGGGGCCACAGCTCTGCCCCACAGCTCCGGACCTGGAGTCCTCCACACTGGCTCGCTGTACCTCTATCCACCTCCAGCCTCCACTGGCCCTCGGCCCCAGCTCTGCCCCGCCCTCAACCTACTCCATCCGAGTGGGCCCGTGTCCTGTCCCTGTGCCACCCAATGGTTACCATGCTTTCTTTTTTTTGGTACCAGGGCTCAAACTCTGGACCTTGCGCTTGTAAGGCAGGTGGCTGAACCACTGAGCTAAATCCCCAGCCCATGGGTACTGTGCTTTTTAATGACTTCACTATTTCAAAGATCGAAAACCTTTCCTTGGCCTAAAGACATACAGGGCCAGCCCTTACCCCACGCCCTCTTCAACCTCCTCTTGCTACACCAGACACCTCTGTTTCCAGTCTCCAGCTGTGCTTTTCCTGTCATGGAGCACCCCCCACTCTTTATGGTTCTAGGAATTGAGCCAGGGACTCACCTATGCTGGGCAAGCACTGTCACTCAGCTCCACCCCAACCCTCTTTAAGAAATGTTTATTTTGAGATGTGGTATTGCTAAATTGCCCAGGTGGAGTTTGCAGTCCCCTTGCCTCCCTAGTAGCTGAGAATTTAAGCGTGTGTGGCCGCACCCACTACCTCCAAGGTAAGATCTATCCAGTGGATCTCAGCACAGCAGTCTCTTTGATACACAGTATGAGGTCAAATTCACCTACTCTAGGGCCGGGATGTAGCTCAGTGGCACCACATCCGCCTCAAAAGCACAAGGTCCTGAGTTCTATCCCCAGTACTGAAAAACAAAACAAAACAAAACCCAAAACAACAACAACAAAAAAATTCAACTACTTTAACTAAGTCCCTCCCGTTCCCCCTTTCTTTTTCTGAGCCAGGGTCTTGTAATGTAGCACAGGCTGGCCTCAAATTTGTGTGGCCATTCTCCTGCCTCAGCCTCCTGAGTGCTGGGATTACAGGCATGTACCACAACACATGGCTGGTCATTGAACACAGATGAAGTTTTTCTTTTCTTTTTCCTGGTACCAAGGGTCAAACTCAAGATCTTGCCTTGCCGGGCAGGCACTATGCCACTGAGCTAAATCTCTGGCCCCTAACACAGGTAAAGTTTTACATGCGTGCAGCTACCTGACTAATGTCCAACTCCCCACTAGGCTTTAAGTTCCAAAAGAAAAGCAACCCCAGCACGGTTCTGCTTATTACTCTGTGCTGTCACTTCATATACATGTGATACCCAGTTAGCACTCCATAAATACTGACTGGACCAGTGGGCAGGCGGAGGGTGGAGAGAGGGACTGGGGCTGTTCAGCTCCTACTCTGTTTCTAGCGTCTGCCTGCTTGGGTCTGGAGCTCACAAAGAGGACTCTGCCTTCTTCCTGTGTGTTTTCGTACCAGGTCCAGCAGTGCAGTGACCAGCCAATCTCATGGAGCCTCACTTCACATGCTGGACTCAGTCAGCGAGATTCTTGTCCTGAAGTAAAGGGCATGCATAGCTCCCAGTGGACGTGGCTGGAAGGGTGGTCTTACCTTCTTTGTTCTTATCAGCTTGTGGTCCCTAAACTCCGTCAGCTGGGCGCGCAGTGTCAGGTCACTGTTGACGAGGAAGGCCTCCCGACACTGCTGGTAGAAGTCTTGAAAGGACAGCCCTGGGAGGGTCAAGAGGAGACAAGGCCTCAGCAGCACTGCAGCCTCGACCCTGCGCCCAGAGCCCCACTGCAGGACACGGGGTAAGCACGACCAGTGTGTGCAGACGGATGAGCAAGTAGAGCTAGGAAGTACTTGGGTGCCACCCATCGAGGCAGTCAGAGCCAACTGCTGAATGCAGTCAGTGTGACTGAGTAGGACATTTCAATAGCTTGGGTAAAGCTGACTTTCAAAAAGACCACTAAGCTGGGTTGGTGGTGCACACCTGTCATCCCAGCACTCAGGAGGCTGCGTCAGGAGGACTGCTGCGAGTTTGAGGGCAGCCTGTGCTACATAGTGAGTTCAAAGCCTGCTTGAATTACAGGGAGACCTCATTGCAAAAAAACAAACAAATACAAAGAAAGAGAGAAAGAAAGAACTAAGTCACGAGCTGAACAATTACAACTTATTTTTCACTGAGATATTATTTTTGCCCAAAAGGAAGAAAATCTCCTAGTGCTCGCTTTGGCAGCACATATACTAAAATTGGAAGAAAATCTCCCCAAATGCCCACATATGAAAAGCATGGTGCGGGCAGACACGAAGCCACAGCCCAGGCTGCAACGCCACAGCCTGCTGGCCCAGCCCCAGCCCCGAGCACGAGCACCCAGCCTCTGGAAACAGGAGGGGCCGAACAGCGCTACGCCCTTCTCTGCGCCAGACCTGCTCACTGCTTCCTGATCCCGCTGTGTTTCTGGAGCGCTGCGTCAGACGCGTGGGAAATAAGGACACAGTAAAAAGCTCAAGTGCAAGCGCAAGCGCGCTAGGAGCCGCAGGGCTGGGGCGGCAGAGGGCGGGGTCAGATACCTGTGTAGGAGGGGTCCTCCTGCTTGTCCAGCTGATACTTCATCAGCAGCCTGAAAATTCCCCTGAGGAAAAACCCAAAACAGGAATTCAGAGCCAGAATCCACGGACAGAGAGGGAAGCAGTGAAGTGCCAGGGTCTCCTCCCACTCTTCCTCCAGGGCACAGCCTGGCCTTGTAAGGAGCAAGAGCCTTTCTGTCTAGGAGTATTTTTAGCAATTTTTTTAGATCTTATTAGTCCATGTTTCAGGACATGATGACAGCCTTCATTGTGGGAGCTGGTACACGTACATAACATACTTTAATTCTTTTTACTTCCCTGTATTTTTGGATTTTCTCTCACTGGGGATTACTTCTCCTTGTAGAAAATTTGGAATGTATAGTAACATCCAAAGGGGCAAATATCAACCCCATAACCCTAAGATAACAGTAGGTGTTGCTGTCACACTGCATGAGGGGGGACTGAAATACAAAAACTCAAACATTTATGTATACAGTATGCACCCTTTCAACATTTTTACCCCAGCACTGGGGACTGAACCCAGGTGCTGTGCATCAAGCTGCATCCCAGCCCTTATTTTTTGTACTGGGGATCGAACTCTGGACCTTGCACTTGCGAGGCAGGCAGAGGAACCACTGAGCTACATCCCTGGCCCCCGAGCCCTTTTTTAAGACAGGGTCTCACTAAGTTGCTCAACTGCCCAGGCTGGGCTTGAACTTACGATCCTTCTGCCTCAGCCTACCAGAGCACTGGGATTTCACGTGCGTGTCACCACATGCAGCTGTGTACACCATTTTGTACCCTTTTAATTATTGACTTTCCCTGTGTCTTTTCCCCCTTTCCTATATCTTTTAAGCTGTTCCTAAACAAATTTTAATGACTGCTTATCATGCACCACAAACTAACCAACTTCCTGTTTGGTTTGGATTATATAATTTCCTTTTTTAGATGATTAAAAATACCTGCATTAAGTAAAATTATAGTTTTTATATTTTGATTAATTTTTTTTTTTTTGGTACCAGGGATCGAACTCAGGTCCTTGCACTGTGAGACAGGTGGCGGAACCACTGAGCTAAATCCCCAGCCCCTAGTTTTTATATTTTGAATTACTTCTGTGGGAGAGTGAACCAAGTGGAATTATGGAGTTGAAAGGAGTATTATACAACCGAAGATTCCCAGGAGTTCCTCACGGAATCAAAATTACTACGCCTTTGCACTTTAATTTTTATGATTATGTAGAGAACAATTCTATAATCATATTTTGGATCTCCTGAATGACACTCTGTAACTATGGCTGAATTTTGGTGAAGATTCTTGATCCATTACATTTATACCAAGTAAAAACTAGATCACACTAACTGCAGATTGAACCACAATTTCAAAATAACTTAAAATTTTTTTTTTTTTGTACCGGGGACTGAACTCAGGACCTTGTGCTTGCAAGGGAGGCACTGGAACCACTGAGCTAGATTCCCAGCCCTCAAAATAACTTAAATTTTTAAAAAAGTGTTAGAGGGGCTGGGGATTTAGCTCAGTGGTTTCACCACCTGCTGCGTAAGCACAAGGACCCGAGTTTGATCCCCGGTACCAAAAAACAAAACAAAACAAAAACACAAAAAAAGTCCCACCTGCCAGTTGCTTACAGTTTAAGAAAGTGAATCTTCAACTTTAAAACAGACAATTTTTAATGTTTTGTTCATCTTGTTTCTCTATTTACGGCACAGGGGACAGAACCTAGGGCCCCATGCCTGCCAGGCAAGTGCTGTTCTCCTGAGCTGCACCCCAGCCCTCAGTGTACAGTTGTCAAGAAGAAACGTTTCCTTTCTCACCGTGCATTAGGGGTGAGGCTGCGGAGGACGTGCGTCAAGGCGCTCAGCGGGAGGGCGCCGGACTGCTTGACCAGCAGAGAGTTCTCATAGGACGTCTCCTCAGTGTAGGGACTATACGTGGTGGTCTCGTACCACAGCCAGTTATAAAGGCTCTGCTTTGCGTGGTCCCACACTAGTGTGATCAGAGAACACAATTACAAAATACATTCATTTGTCATCCTACTGGAGTCCATTCTGGAAAAGCATTCAATGAAGAGGATCCTGAGATTTTTCATTTTTAATCAATTCTTCATCCACATCAGTAATCCACAATCTGATTTCACTGTCAATCAACACCTGAATCTTTGCTGCACATTAAATACACATTAAATCACCTTAGTACTATCAAGGCATCCTTTGAAAAATTAGCAATTCAATATTTTGTTCTACAGGATCACCACAAAGTATGTGAATTAAGTTTATAAAATAAATATGGCAATACCACAGACAATAGAAAGAGACCAAAACTCCAGCCATGTGATGGAGACATGCGACTTCCCTTGTGACTTGAGGTCTAAAACAACCCTCTTTAGTATGTGAACTTTTCTTTCTTTTTTTTTTCAGAACTTTGTTTCTTGGTACCAGGGATTGAACTCAGGACCTTTCGCTTGCAAGGCAGGCGGTGGCACCACTGAGCTAAATCCCGGGCAGAACTTTTTCAAAAGCAAAATATTTATTGGTACATTTTAGATACACATCATGATCACACTCATCACAGGGAATTTGTACCTGTACCTGATCTATCTTGCTTCTTCTCTTCTGCCATCCCCCCAAGCTTTGTTTCCATTTTGTCCTATTTTCTCGCACTTTCCTTCCTTCCTCCCTCCCTGCTCCTCTGTTTCCCTCCTTCTGTTCTTCCCTTCAAATGTTTTGAACATTTTCTTCACATTTCCCAATATCTATTGTACATTTTAGCCTTATTTCCATTTTTACTTTCTCACATCAGAGAAACTGTGGTATTTAAACACGTTTGTCCGATTTATGTGAACTTTCATTTTCAAGAATTTTGTGTAGCTTGGCACCATGGAGCATGTGTGTGATCCTAGCTACTTGGGTAGCTAAAGCAGGAGGATGGTGAATCCCAGGCCGGCCTGGGCAACTTAGTGACATCCTATCTCAAAATGAAATAAAAACTGAAGTTCAGAGTGATGAAGTTCAGGGCTCCCTGGGCTCAATCTACAGTATTACAAAAGAACTAAATTAAACTGAGTATAACTGTCTTGTAGGCAACTCGTGTGGCTTCTGTTTTTTTTTTTTCGGTTGCACTGGGTATTAAATCTAGGTCCTTCCTGCTGAGCTACATCCCCAGCCCTTTTGAAAATCTTTAAAAGTTTGCAACAGGGTCTAATTAGGTTGTTACACTGCCCAAGCTTGGGTCAAACTTAAGATCCTCCTGCCTCAGCTTCCATAGTCAGCCATTACAGGGATGTGCCCCATACCCGCCTTGTTTTTGTTATTTTTCCTTTGACAATAGGTCTCAATAAGTAGCTCAGTCTGGCTTCAAACTCATTATGTAGCCCAGGATTGCCTGAGTCTATCCTGCGCTGGCATTATAGGCATGCACCATGACATCCAGCTAACCTATGTCTTTAAACATGGAATGGGGAAAATACTAAAACACAATAAAAAACATTGTAAACTGATCTCTCAAGAAAGACGGTAGCAATATTTAACTTACTGAGAGGAGCATTAAGGTGATCAACAGATGCTACCAGGTATATGTTACGCAAAGATGACAGCTGTCCAATAATCTGCTGGCTCTTGTCTCCTCTCAGCATTTGGCTATCCAAGTTGTGGATAAGAAGGAAGAGTTCTAAAGAAGAATCTGAAAGGAAAGGGAATCAAACTGTAATTTTCAGAATTTGTGAAGTCTCTGCCACAAACAAATGCCTACATAGTAAAGTATATTTTAAAGCAGTGTAGGACACCAGCACTTGGAAGGCCCAGGCAGGAGGTGGCCAGCCTGGGCTGCATAGTGAGTTAAAGACCAGCCTGAACTACATAGCAAGACTGGGGCTTGAAAAACAAACAGCTGGGTGTGGTGGCATACACCTGTAATCCCAGCACTTGGGGAGCTGAAGCAGGAGGCTCACTGTGAGTTCAAGGCCAACGTGTGGTACATAGTGAGTTTGAGGCCAGCCTGAACTACATAGCGAGACCCTGTCTCAAAACACCAACAAACCAAGTAGTATAGGATAAATGACATTGCCAAGCTGGGCCTGGTGGCACACACCTGTAACCAGCACTCTGGGAGGCTGAGGCAGGAGCACCACAAGGTCAAGCCCGGCCTGGGTAACTAGGTGAGACTGTCTCTAAATAAAAAATAAATGAGGTGGGGGTCAGGGATTTAGCTCAGTGGTTCCACTGCCTGCCTTGTAAGCACAAGGTCCTGAGCTCGATCCCCAGTACCAAAAATAAATAAATAATAAGAAAATAAATGAGGTAAGCTGGATGAGGCAGTGCACACCTGAAGGCTGAGGCAGGAGGATCGCTCCAAGTTTGAGGCCAGCCTGGGCTTCATAGTGAGTTCAAGGGCATCCTGAACTACATGGGCCTGGGTCAAAAAATCAGAAATAGGGCTGGGAATTTAGCTCAGTGGTTCTGCCACCTGCCTCGAAAGTGCAAGGTCCTGAGTTTGATCCCCAGTATCAAAAAAACAACAAAAAAAAACAAAGAACAAAACGAAAAAACAACACTGGGCTGTCTGACAAGGACCTGTGATAAAGGGATAAAGAGTAATGCTTTCTGGCCCGGGATTTAGCTCAGTGGTTCCACCACCTGCCTTGCAAGCTCAAGGTCCTAAGTTTGATCCCCAGTACAAAAAAAAAAAAAAAAAAGAGTAATGCTTTCTATTATTCTGTGAGCGGAAGAATTTATTGATATTAATGCTAAAATGATGTTAAAAACTAAAGAGGGTCCAGAAAACATAAGCCAGAATTATTATAGGGGCAACATATTGCAGCAACTGACTTTTAATTATATAACGAAGTTCAAAGAACTGAAAACTAAACAGATTTTGTAACCAGACGTAGTGGCGCATGCCTGTAATGACAACACTTGGTAGGCTGAGGCAGAAGGATTGCTGTGAGTTCGAGGCCAGCCTGAACTACATAGTGAGACCCTGTCTCAAAAAAACTACATAGACCCTATATGCTTACACAATCAATGGATAAGGAACATTCATATACACAGGTAGCACTGGGTTTCCATGAACTATACACATGACCCTTGTCCTACAAAGTTGGTGAAAATCCTGGATTAGTAAACCCTGAACCACTGCTCCTGGAAAATACAAGTTTCTGCTCTTATTTTCATCACCAGCCAATGTATCATGAGATGCGGTTTCTGTCTAAAGCCCCCTTTTTTTTTTTGGTACGGGGGATTGAACTCGGGTCCTTGCACTTTTGAGGTAGGAGGCAGAACCACTGAGCTAAAAATCCCCGGCCTAAGGCACTTTATTTTTAACACACTCCTGAACTGTTAGTAATAAAATCAGTCGACAACCCTAGAACTCAGCCCTCAGGGTACTTACCCAGCATAGGTCACTGGTCTCCATGGGGTACTGAACTGCTTTCTGGGTTCTGGGACACAAGGCAGCATTTCAGCACTAAGATTGGGAACCATTTTATTTTATATTCTTAATTTTGGAGGTACCAGGGACTGTACTCAGGACCTTGTGCTTGCGAGGCAGGCACAGTGCCATTGAGCTAAATGCCTGTCCTGGGAACCATTTTAAAAGCCAAATCACCAGGGCCAGGGAATTTAGCTCAGTGGCACTGTGCCTGCCTCACAAGAAGAAGGTCCTAAGTTAGATCCCCAGGACCAAAAAAAAAAGCTAAATCACCAAGAAAAAGACAAAAATGTGGAAACCTTGGCACCTTTTTTTATAAGGTTATGGAGTGCAAGAAATTAATTGCACACTAGAAGCCCAAAGGATTCAACTGAAGGCCTAGATCCCACCGGTTTCCCACACAAGTCCAGCTGAAGGCCCCGAGTCCAATGCAATTAATGTCCTCCTCGAGTCCAGCCAATGGCCTAGAGCTCACGGCAATGTGTCATGCTTGTTCATGTTGTGGATCTGCACCTGGAAGGCCCAAAGGCCAGTGGTGGAAGCCAGAAAATCTACACTGGAGAGATGAAGGATTTCTGTCACCAAACTGAGGGATCCACATTGGAGCTAGGAAGTGATGTTCACGTTGAAGATCAGAACTCCCCTGATGAAAACAGCAGCCATTCCCAGCAAGAGAGAGGCTCCAAGCACCTCCTCTGATAAGAACATCCTAGTTTGCATCAGGAAAACCATCCACAGCAAGCTTCTCCTACCAAATTAACAAGCCAAGATCTTCCCCTCCTGTGAGCAGAAAGGATGCTGCACACAGAACGAGCACTGAGCCACACAGGCCCAGGCAAGGCCACGGGGCACGCACACCATGCATGTGCACTGTGGCTACAGACCATCGGGAGGGCCACAGGCTACACACACGTGGCTTTAGGTGAACCTGCAAATACACTTAGCCCTCTGTATTTCGGGGTTCACATCCACAGATCTGTACCAGACATGTACAGACTTTCATTCATCATTAAATGAGGGTGAATTCCATATGACAGCTGTGTACATATTCACCTTGCGTCAGACACTGAGTAAAGCACACAGGTAAGTGGCCCTGTGGCACACTTTCAAGTGTGCAGAGTTGGTGTAAGAAGGCACATTCTCAAAACAAAAAACAAAAAAAAAAGGGTGGGGGGTTTAGCTCAGTGGTTCTACCACCTGCCCCACAAGCACAAGGACCTGAGTTCGATCCCCAGAACAAAAAAAACAAAAAACAAAGAATGCACATTACCCATGTCCATGATGACTGTGGAAAATTGGGTTTAGAAGCTTGAAAATAAGAAATCTAGGGGCCTGGGATGTAGCTCAGTGGCACAGCGCCTGCCTGACAAATGCGAGGTCCTCAGTTCAATCCCCAGTACCAAAAAGAAATCTAGAAGCTAGGCATGTTGGTGCACACCTGCAATCTCAGCACTTTGGAGGCTGAGGCAGAAGGATCACCAGGAGTTTGAGGCCCGTCTGGGCTACATAGTGAGTTCAAGGCTAGCCTATATAATGAGAACTACATAGTGAGGCCCTGTCTCAAAAGGAACCCCCCACCAATCTGAGATAGAAAAACTTTTCAGCTAGAAAACAGAGGGAAGCGAAAACATTATGAATACAAAAAGAGAAATACAAGTGCTCTGGAAATACAGCTAGTATTATTGTACCTCTAAACAATATTACCCATGATATCAAAGGAAAAAATGGAAACAAAGCTTTTGTACACAAGGGGTGGGGATTCCCTATGATGAGTGTTATCATTATATATATCTAAAACGTACCAATAAACATTTTGCTAAAAAAAACCAACACTATCACCCATGAAATCAGTATTACAAATTACTCTTTTTAATTCTTTTAAAATTTTTTTGAGGTCCTTCTAATTATTAAGCAAAGATCTTGAATAATCTTATTTCCAGTTGTCAGATATGTACATATAACCAAAACAGTCACACCAAAAGAATGCCAAAGTCTTTTTCCCATTCCACAGATCTTATTACAGTACATGAAATTACCTCAACGGAGGAATGCTTAGAATAAAGAAGAAGACTCTGTGTGTGTGTGTGTGTGTGTGTGTGTGTGTGTTCTGGTGGTGCTGGGGATCAAATTCAGGGCCTTGTGCATGCTTGGTAAGCACTCAACCACTGATTCGCAATCCTGGCCCCCAAAATAAGAATGTTTTATAACATTTTAAACAATATAAAAATGTACCACTTAACTAAAGCACTTTACATTGATAAAACAAAACCTACTTAAGAATAAGAGGTTATACAAATTTAAGACAACAGGAGAAACTTTGCAGTTGAGATTCACAAAACAAGTGCATAAAAAATAAAAGATTATTATTTATTTATTTTTTTAAAGGTATCAAAGTTTATTTGAAAAAGCCAAAGTGAAGAGTGAGGAAGAAACTGGCTCCACAGAGTGAGCTTGCGCTGAGTAAAAGAGGAAGCAGCAAAGTAAAAGTCCATCCTGGAGGACAAAGGGACAACAGCCAGGGACAAACTATTTTAGAGAAGTCTAAATCAGCACAGCAGTAAGTGCTGATATCAAAATAACCCTCATTTCTGTTCGTGTAAATGTAGACAGATTTGACCCTACCACCACAGGTCAATTAGTGTTACCTTCTTTAAATCTGTGTATGATCCAGTCTAGCTGATCCAGAACACTTCGGAAAGTACCCACGTGATCAAGGACTCCTTCTGTTATGGAATTCAGGATCTGTACCACAAAGCACAGGAGGTACCATGTCAGTTACCCTTAGTCTGACATACAGGACAAACACAGGTAGCAAATCAATCGTTTTTATAATTTAAAACTTATTTTAGACTTCTCATAAAACATAAAAAATCACTTAAAACATTCTAGTAGATACTTAAGTATCCACTAATTCATTTTGTTTTGCCCAAGTTGTGGCCTATAGGAAACAAGGAAGAAGAGTAAAGGTATAAAGATAATGTAAGAAAGCAACAAAACCCCCCAACTGTGAGAAATCTAGAAAAGTATACATTTAAAAAAGGAAACAGTACAAGCATGAAGGACACTTGAAGAAAGAAACACTACACTGGTCAATATCCAGCACCCAACCGCTTTAAATTAATCCTTAAATAATGAAGAAACAGAGCATGTGAAGATGACCTATAATAAACGTATTGTAACCTATAAACCTTTGTGTTTTATTTTTAGGATACCAAAATGACCAAAAAGTATAATAAAGTTGCAGACCCCATAATCCCATCCTTCAGAGAAGTTCTATTACTTGGTAAGCAAGGCTAACATTTCCCTAAATGTAATACATGTCAGTTTGAGCTGGGTCCCTCTGAGTCGGGCTTCTCATCTAAGGAGTGTGAGTGCTGAGAGCCCTCGTGAGAGGGTGGCCTGGCAGGGGACACTGCCGTCCCTCTAACCTTTCTGAAACTTACTGACTTCACACTGATCCCAGGGAAGAAGCCATTGATGACAACATGAATGCAGTCCTGCAGCATGGTGGTTCGGAACCTTTCCAGTAAATCTCTCTTAGAACCCAAACCATAAAGCACAATGTTGAAACCAAGGCTGTTGGGAAAGAGAGTATTCAGAAAAGTAAACGTTGAAACTTCTTACTGCTAATGTTGTTATCAACCAATTTCTTCACTTTAAGCCTATGAAGAATACAGGAAGGTCAGATGCAGTGGTGCACACCTGTAATCTCGCTTTTCTAGAGACTGAGGCAGGAGGATTCCAAGTTCTAAGACAGCCTACGTGACTTAGCAAGACCCTAACTCAAAATAAAAAATAAGAAAGGCTGGGGATGTAGCTCAGTGGTAGCAGCTTATGTAACACATTCCAGCCCCTGGGTTCAACGTCTAGTACCCAAGAAACAGAAACAAAAACAAAAACAAAAAACTAGTTTTCAATAGGAAAGCAACGTGATCTTTTTAGAAAGTCATGTGGATGCATTAGGGGAATGGATGGGACAAGAGGAGGAAAGAAGCTGCCAAAGAGGAAAGATGAGCTGGCTGTGGTGACGTGGACACTGGTGATGTGGACACTGGTTCTGTGGTGGACGAGGACAAGGGCACAGTTGAGACGAGCCCGTGTTCTGCTCCAGGCAAATACACAGGGGCGGGCGGGAACCCCAGCTTCTAGACGAGTGCGACCTTTTCTCTTCTTCTGGAGCACCAAGGACTGAATCCAGGGCCTCGTCACTCTACTGCTTGGCTCCATGCTGGTCCCGTCTGTTTGAGCTCAAGTCAGATCTGGCTAAGCTGCTAGGGCGGCCTCAAGTTTGGGATCCCAAATGAGCTCAAGCTGATCTCTGCTGAATTCCATAAGGGAACCCAAAGAGAAGGTTTCAACACACATTCAGACACTCATCCCTGTTGCTGCTGAGTGAGGTTAGGATGGAACTGGAGCCGTCACACATGACCAGCAAGGGTGTCCAGAGAGGAGAGGCCCCCCCCAGGACGCCAGGCACCAGAGACCCCACTAAAGCCAGCTCCACGGTGGTTACCGGGTGGCCTCTAGTGAGGCAGGACAGCCGAGAACAGAGGAGCAGCGAGAGAGCCTGGGAGGGAGAGATTGGCAAGGGCCCAGCAGCAGCAGCAGCAAGGGATTCATGCAGCCAGCAGTTCCATGCGGGCAGGTCTGCTTGGGGACAGTGGACAGCAGGGCCAAAGAAGAACTGTCCGCTGGGAGGCAGAGGAGAGTGCAGAGCTCACCTCCACAGACAGCTCCCAAGAAGTGAGCTCCTGGCAGGGACAGAGATCCCCCCTTCTCAGCGTAACCTGAGGGAGCCAGGACGCACTACTCCCAGAAGAACACCACTCCACACGCGTCGGGCAGCTGTGATCATGCTGTGCTTGGTGGGCCGGCCTTAGCGACCCCACACCGAGTATGCAAGCACATTTATATATCACTGCGTGTTTTCAGCATTTCCTGATATGCGTGGTTTGTTTTTTTGGTTTCTTTGAGACAGGGCCTCACTGTGTAGTCCAGGCTAGCCTTGAACTCAAGTCCTCTTGCCTCAGCTTCCCGAGCTACTACACGTAGCTAAAGTCCTTCTAATACAAGTTTGAAAAAAAACCCAATGATTTCCTGTGATTTGCTTTTCATCACATCTTGGTATTCTAACAAATTTAAAATCTAACTTGAAGTAAATAAAAACTGATGAAACAGGAATATTCTAAAAAATAATTTTTTGTTTTTGGAACTGGGGATTGAAATCAGGACCTTGCGCTTTTGAGGCAGGCAGCGGCACCACCAAGCTAAATCCCCCAGCTGACAACAAACATTTTTAAAAACTAGAATTTGTGAGAAAAGCTGTACAGCAAAATAACATTTCTATATCTGAATCATAAAACTGGGAAAGTATATTTTATTTTTATTTTTTTATATTTTATTTTTACTATACATAAATATATCAAGTTTGTTACAAAAGCAACACATTACTTTAACATAAAGATATAAAAATTTTTTTGCAAAGGTTTGCATTAATACTTACTGTAACTGCAGCATCCATTTATGAAATAATTTTTCATATTGTTGATTTAATTGTTTAAGTTCAGTAGAAAAGGAAGGGGAAACCTTGCTTAGTAAGTTACGCAGAGTTTGCTTTAAAAAAAAGGAGAAGAAAATTATATTCAAACTGCATACATCAAATCAGTCCGAACTAAAGCTGTTTCTTCAGCGACTGAGCTTATGAGAGCCAACATGGAATCTCATCAGGTTTGAAAACGAGCACATCAACTGAACAGTGACACTCCAAACACACCCTAAGTGGCCCCCATTTTTGGTGGTGCTGGGGACTGAACCCAAGGTCTTCACCTTCGGACAGGGTCAGTCTGCTTTACCTCTCAAGCTACTGTGCATCAGGTGTGTGTTTGTTTTTTAAAAATCTTAGAACATTTTTTCAGCACAAATATGTAGTAACAGTAAAACATTTGTTAAATTTTGTCTAGCTATTAAAATGATTACAAATTCAGAACATAAAAGTTTTATGTCCGTGGATGATGAAACTTGCTGCACAGCTTTGACCACAAATCCAGAGAGACTTTAAAAGCCTACAGATTTGGGGTAAAGGACGTGCTTAGCATGTGTGAGGTGATGGGTTTGATCCCCGGCAACAGAAAATAAACAATAAAATAAACCAAAATCCTCCTTTGCATTTGAAAACATGTAAAAGGTTAGGGTAATATTCTCAGAAAACATTATTGTTCTTGGCCTGGGGATTTAGCTCAGTGGTTCTGGTGCCTGCCTTGCAAGCGCAAGGACCTGAGTTCGATCCCCGGTACCAAAAAAAAAAAAAAAAAGAAAACATTATTGTTCAGCCGGGGATTTAGCTCAGTGGCACCGCACCTGCCTCACAAGCACAAGGTCCTGAGTTCAATCCCTGGTATCGAAAAAAAAAAAAGAAAACATTATTGTTCTTTATCCATTATCACTAGGAAACCTGTTCTTTTTCAGTTTAGCATTATTCTTTTTCAAAAAGTTATTTCTGACAAATCCTTTATCTTTTGTAAGTATGGGAGAAATTTAGACAGCAATATACAAAAACAAAAACAAACAAGAGAGGCCAGGCATGGTAGCACCCACATGTAACCACAGCACTGGGGAAGCTGAGGCAGGAGGATCATGAACTCAAGGCCAGCCTGGGCTAAACAGCAAGACCCTATCTCAACAACAAGAAAAAACTACAGGAGATGCATTACCTAGTACCCTAACTTGGAAATTTCTGCTGATAGATCAAATATAACTCATTTTTTGAAAGAAATCTCCAAGCCAGTTGTGATAATGCACACCTGTAATCTCAGTACCCTGGGAGGCAGAGGCAGGAGAATGGCAAGTTTGAGCCAGGCTGGGCAACTTAGCAACTTACTGAGACCCTGTCTTAAAATTCTAAAACAAGGGCTAAGGATGTAGCTCTGTGCTAAGGTCCTGGGTTCAATCCCCAACACCACAAAACAAAACAAAACAAAAGAAAAAAAACCACAAGCAAGGTCGTGCCAGCAAATGCAGCTTAGCTGGCAACCGTTTTTTGTGACCCTACCTTAAACTCAATGTTCTTTGAATACCAAAGCTTAGCGTTGCTGTAAATCAATGCTCCAGGCGTTCTGGCCTGTACAGTTTTTATTCACCCACAAACTTAAAGAGAACCAGGACTACCTCTTAGAGGTCACAACTGTGAAGCAGCTTTGGAGTCTCTCCTGGTTGGTGCCTGCTGCTCAGACCCTGGCCTGGGCGACCAGGGGGCAACTGCTCGCGCAGGCGGGCAAGCTCCCTGTACACTGCACGTCTAACTTTAGCAGTCAGGGGACCACCAACAGGCAGCCCCTCTCCCACATGGCTCTGCTCCCTGCTATGGTCTGAATCGGAGTCCCCAAAGCCTCATCCTGTGGGTGGGGTTGCAGCTGACTCCCGCGCTGTCAGGAGGGCGTCTGGGTTTCCCTCCACTTCCTGACCACCGTGCCATGACCAGCTCTCCTCTGCCAGGCCCATCTGCCATGACACCCTGCCTTGGAGCCAGCCCACTATGCACTGAACTGGAACCCAACAGAAGAAACCTCTCCTCCTCTAAGTCGCGGGTGTCGGTACTGTGGCTGAGACAGCCTCCCACTATAGCCCTCTGTCCTGTGACTTTGTTTTCAGCTGTGTGATCTGCATGGCCACTGGAGTGAGGCACAAGTGACATAGCCAAAGTTTTATTTTTGAGACAGGGTCTTGCTATGTAGCCCAGGCTGGCTTGGAACGTGCAATCCTCCTGCCTCACCCTCCCAAGTGACACGTGAGCCCTACAATGCCCAGGGACACTGCCAGCTCTGAGCCTGGGCTTTAGGAGGTTGCGTGTTTTCCCACTTCCCAAGCCACAGCACTGCCCTGGAAGCCCAGGCCTTGCCTACACACTGGCCAATGAGGAAGAGTGCAGTGAGGAGTGCAGGGCCAGCCCCCCAACCCCAAAGTGAGCGCTCCTGGTCACACATGCCTGAGACCAACTAGCCACTGTGCTGTGTCTACAGTCAGCAAAAGGCTTCCCCTTCATCGTCGGCAACAGGGGCTTCCTCTGCTCTTCTAGAGATCTTTTTGCCTCTAGGTCCCATTTTTATTGAGATCCACTCATCCTTCTGGTGGTCACATAAAAATAAAATGCATGCTCCAGGCAAATACCAGTGTCATCTGCTCCCTGGAAAAACTTGCCACGTTTTTTTTTCTGGTCAGGGTCCTGCTATGTAGATTGGACTGACCTCAAACGTGACACGGTATCTAGGCTGGGCTTGAACTCAAACCTCCCCTATGCTACCAAGCTCAGCTCAACTTGGCTTGGCGACACTTATTTTTAACTAGTCTCTGACCTGAGTCAATACCGATTCAAGTGACAAAAAACTAAAAGCCAGTAAAACTACATAACACCATTTTATTCAAGTCACAGAGCTTGCCCGATACCCTCCTACCTCTTTTCTCTATCTTGAAAACCCTGTCAAAGCCCTGGGCACTTTAGAATACACACTAAATTTTGGTTTGCAAAGTACAGGTTGAGCATCCCTAATCCAAAAAATCAAAACCAGGAAATATTCCCAAATCTGAAACTTTCTGACTGCTGACCTGACTCCACAAGGGGAAACTCCATAGCCGAGAGCACTCGACAGACCTGCCCAGCACCGCTCCAGGCTGAACACAAGAGGCGTGCGAGGTGAATGGGCTTTGTGCCCAGACATGCCCCCCCCCCCAAGATCACACCGTGTTGATGCGGACATTCCACAGTACTAAGCAATTCCATCAGGAACACTTCTGTCTCTGAGCATTCTAGGTAAGGGACACTAACCTTGCATAACAAAATACTGGTATCTTTGAGCCAGTAAGAATCTCTTCTTGACTTAGATTATCAATCCCATTTTCTACTGCAAGATTTTGAGTTTCTTTTTTTTTTTAATACTGGGGATTGAATTAGAGCCTTAGTGCTGAACTACATCCCCAGCCCTGCTATGTGTGTTATTTTGAGATAGTCTGGCCTTGAAGTTGCCATCCTCCTGCCTCAGCCTCCCAGAAGGCTGGGATCACAGGTGTGCACCACCATGCTGACGGCACAATTCTCTTGATCAGATGGTTCTGTTTCCTCTCTTCCAGTATAGCTGCGAAACAAACTAGCAAAACCACAGTCACAGTGACCTTGTTACCTTTCTGCATGGGCACATTTCCACAATATCCTCACGGAGAATACCTTCTATGTTTTGCCAAATTTATAAATGAGACGATAGCTTGCAGTTTTGTTTTATGACCACTGTGCGCTTGGTTAAGTGAACATGTGGGTGGTGTGTGCTACCTGCAGCCTGACATTGTTTTTGAGTGAAGAGGAAGTGTCTTAGGCTATGGATAAAATATATAATATGGTTAATGTATATAAGTAAGAAAATTTCCTCCTTTAAAAAAAGTTTTTTGTTTTGTTTGGTACAGGGGATCGAGCTCAGGACCTTGAGCTTGCAAGGCAGGTGAGGTGCCACTGAGCTAAGTCCCCAGCCCCTTAAAATGTTTTTATTATGACATTTTTAAAAATGAGGGCAAAATAAAAGGTGGACCAAAGGTTGGACACACCTGGATGGTACGTGGACATCAAGGAACCACAACTCAGATGCTTACAAATCCTGAAGAAATGAAAAAATAATGAGAAAAACTACACAATCCACCATGTCAAAGAGAACTCCATTCCAGGGTTACTTACCATTTATACATATCACCTTGCATTTCGTTTGGTCAGGACAATAGATTTGCTTGTGCGTGCTCACACTCCGAGTCCTTTGCTAATGCAGTGAGAAATGGTTGAAGTGACTTTCTCATGCCTACCTGATCCAGGGCAGCTCTCCTCAGCTTCTGCAGAGTTCTGTCTGAGGTCAAGACTTGGGAACTGCTGTGAGCTTCAAAGTACTCTTCCACTAAGTCACACTGAAAGGGAAAGAGTAAAGTCAGTTCTAGGTAGTGTCAGATCTTCATGTTCTATCAAAACTAGACATAAAATAGGACATAAAAATCCTTTTTGCTGGGCATAGTGGTGCACACCTGTAATCCCAGCACTGTAAGAGCCTTAGGCAGGGAATCACAAATCCAAGCCCAGCCCAGGCAACTTACAACTTAGTAAGACCCTGTCTCAAAATAAAAAAGGGCGGCCAGGAAGGTAGCTTAGTGCAAAGACCCTCGGTTCAATTCAAAGTAGAACCTAAATAAATAAATAAATAAATAAAATGAAAAAACTCATGTTGTTTGTTGAGATGGGGGTCTTGTTATGGTACCCAAACTGGCATCAAACTCGTGGGCTCCCCAGGTCCCTCCCAAGCAGTGTTCCGAACAGTGGGGACCCCAGGTGTGCATGGCCACACCAAACTGAAGCTGTTTATCTCACAGTGTTTTCTTTCTGAACACAGGCTAAGGACCAAGGATATTTACAGCAGTTAAACTGAGTAATTCTCATGGCTATACACGTGACTGAAGTAGTCTGTTCCTAAAAGTAATTCCTAAATTACAAGGTAGAGTACAATTTTCCCTTTAGACTGAAAAACAAATGACACTAGATAGCAGGGCCTTAGTTGCTCCTCTAGTGGCCTAATAAGTCCTCTAACATAGCACGGATAAGATACTGTGAAAATGAGAGGTCAACTGACAGCAACATCAATAAAAAGAAAAACAACCAAGGCATGATGGTGTACCTTGCCATGTCAGCTACCCAGGAGACGCAGGCAGAAGGATCACAAGTTTGAGGCCAACCTGGGGAACCTAGTGACCTTATCTCAAAATTTAAAAATAGAAAGGGCTGAGGCTGTAGCTCAGTGGCAGAGTGCCCCTGGGTCCTGCCCTTAGTATGGGGGAGAAAAACAAAAACTACTCAATTATTCCAGTGACGTAGTTCCCACAGTTCTGGCTGGGTGATAGGAAGGTGTTTGCGAGTGGGTGGCCAAGACTGCTTCACCAAACCTCTGCCCAGACCCCAGGATCCTTGGCCTTCCTGTAGCTGGGGTGCTGGAAGGGCAGTGTGCGCCAGCGGCCACCACCTTTATCACTGGCACTCACCCCAACATGTCGGCAGCGACAAAACATGACAGGAAAAGAGATATACTCACAAGTCTCACCACCAACCATCCAACCAATGTTTATCTAAAATCCCGCTTCTATACCATTGAATTAAGATGTTGCCTTTAACGCATACTGTGGTATTGATTCCCAAATACACAGGCAGGCGAGAATATAAAGCATAAAAATTGAAACAAATATGTGTAGGAATTTACAAGTAAGGCTGAGAAAATACAGAATAATGAAGGAAAAAAACCGTGTATTGATCACTTCTGTGACCTTTTCTCTCAGGGTAGCCTTCTCTGGAGGTATTCTACAGTTTTTCTTTAGGGTTAGAGTCTCTTCACTTACAGTTTTATCTCTTCTCATTTTCTTAGAAGGTGTTCCTTTGCAGACAGGAGCTGACACTCTACTCTGAGTCTGAATCTTCTGGCTGAGCACAGACGCATTCGTGTCCTCAGATTCATGCGCAACCCCTTCATCCTCCTCCGAGTTGGAAGCTGAATATTCACTTTCACTGTCAGAATTAGACCTTGGAACTATGGGGCGGAAAGCAATTGGGAACATTTGATAGTCTGACAAAAAACTCATTGTGGGGTAATGAAGAGTGGCCTTGGAAGCAACACTTTTGATTCTGGTTTGTCACGACTTGCTCATGACTTCTCCACAGCTAGTTACATAAATTCTGAGCACCAGTTTCCTCATTTAGCCAATGAGGCAGATAGTACTAATTTAAAAACCCTCATGAAGATGACACTGAATGGAAGGCAACTAATAATGCCTGGCATAAGGAACTGTGGGAGAAACTGTCAAACACACCTCGCACCTCTCCTTCCTCCTCGCTGACAGAAACCCATTTCTGTAAAGCGTGGCAGTGTCCACTCTGGGCATGAACCACGGTGACTGTCCTTTCCCCTTTCCAGATCCTTGTTTTCTCTTGCAGCTAGGCTGGAGACCTGAGGGAAACCTGCTGGAAGCTTCTGGGAAAGATTTTCCTCAACCATGGAAGGGAAGCCCCTGTCCACACCTGGAAGCTACTGTCCAGCATAAAGTACTAAGCTGAAGATGAAAACTGCTGTTGGCAGAGTAAAAGGACAGGAACCAGGTCCTTAGTGACACTGGTGAGTTTCTACACCAACCATGGGTCTGGGACCTCCACACTTCTGACAATGTGACTATTTTAGGGTCTGTAGCTGAAAAACCACTGTACATGTTCCTGCTGCTGCCACAGAAAAGGCCGTCTTGATAAAGCACTCAGTAAGTGACAGCTTCTATTACACTCATTCCCAACACATGCGTTACTCCACCCCACAGCTAACTCAAGAACTGTATTTTTTTTTTTTTGTACTGGGGATTGAACTCAGGACCTTTCGCTTGCGCAGCAGGCACCGGAACAACTGAGCTAAATCCCCGGCCCAGGAATTGTATTTTTTGTTTGTTTGGTTGGTTTTGGTACCGGGGATCGAACTCTGTTCCTTGGACTTGCGCAGCAGGCGGTGAAACTACTGAGCTAAATCCCCGGCCCAGAAATTGTATTTTTAACAAACCACCAGCCCAGAAATAATAAACCTAGTTTTATTTTCATCCAAAAGGATAAAACTAGTTTTATACTCAACAAGTACAGACCTGTTTTTTTGAGACAGGGTCTTGCTGTGTAGTGCAGGCTGGCCTCAAACTCACAGCAATCCTCCTGCCTCAACCTCTCAAGTGCTGGGATCAAAGATGTGCGCCACCACTTCTGGCCAGAACTATTTTTTAAAAGCTAACCCCCAAAACATTAGTGAAATAACTTTAACCAAATCACTGTTTATTTTGAACAGATGTACTTCAGAGGATTATCCTGAGTTAGCACGTAACAAGTACACACATTGTGTAGGCACACAGCTTAGCAGATTCAGCTTGCCCCTGATGCTGCTCACAATGTATGCACAGGTCACAAGGGGTAGCAGGGGCACAGGACATCATGTTGTATTGACCTGCAGCACACATATGTGGTGGTGACCAAGCTGGGTTCACCAGCTCTGTAAAAACGATTCTCCTCTGTGGTAAGAAGCACATTATGTGGGGTGTATCTGACAGGCAACACTCATTGGTCGACATTACCCTTCACTATTTCACAGAGCTGATCATGAGCATCACTGTTTCCATGAAGGGCACACCTTGCAGTGCAAGGGCTACAGATGAGCCCCAACTCTCTGACTGGATTTAATTAACAATGGCGGCCAACGTTGCTATTGCTGAGGGTCAACACCAAGGAAGAGTCTGGCCTCTTCCTAGACACAAAGGCCAATGAGTCATTTGCCTAAACTGAATACCAAGCACATAAAGCCATTTTCAACTTCCCAGGGGCAGGCAGGACCCATGTCTGCTTATTTGGCATTCAACAGCATTCAGTACAACTATGAATCTTTAATATTTAAGAAATCAATAGACCCACTTTCAAAACGTCTCAAAGCAAATGAAAAAGCATATTATTTTGTTGGAGAGATGTTTTAACTGACTTAAATATTCATTGACTATAATGTGAAAGAGATAGTACTACGTTTTGGAATTAAGAAGACTAGATGACCTCCTTGCCCTTGAGGAATCTACAATTGAGAATATAAACATGCCTTGTCATGAAAAGATAGCAAAAAGTTTTTTTCTATTTTTAAAAAAAGTTTGAAATTTTTATTAGTATGTTTGTTTGCAGCACATGATGACAATCATGTACATAACACATCTTAATCCCTTTCTTACCCTTCCCTTCCCTCCTCAATAAGTGTTTATAATAAACGAGCTTGTACTAAGGTCAAATACCACCCTGAACACACTTGATGTCCTTGGTTTCCATTAATCCTCAAAACAACTTTGAGGATGGTGCCATTATTATGTCTACTTTACAAATGAAAAAACTGTCATGAGCCAAAATAAACCTCTTCTTAAAAAAAAAAAGTGAAGTACAGAGAGGCAGCGGCAGGCTAAAGATTAAAACTAAGCAGCCAAGACTAGAACCTATATGTTTAGCCATTTCTGATTTTTGTTTGGATGTTACTTTTTATAAAAACTTCAAATAAGAACAAGTACATACCTATTAATCTTTTTCTTAGACTACCAGGTGGTGTAGACTGCAATTCATTTTTGTCATTGTTCTGTTTAAAAATAAAAAGCATGGTCGTTAAATAATACAATGGATGTTAATGACCAATCTGAGAAGGGTTGAAAAAGAAAAATATTTCCTTTCAATAGACTACTTTACAACTACATAAACCTAGTCCTAAAGATAATGACAAATGAATGAATTTGCTGAAACAAAAAATAAAGGTATAACCACAAAAACACAGACATTCCAAAGGACTACTAGTGTTTTTAGACACTGAATTCCAGATATTTAAAAAATATGTTGGTCAGCTATTCAACATGGAGGCGGAGGATGATTAGCTGGAACTGATGCTCCAGAAAGCTGACTCTGATCTGGATTATATTCAGTACAGGCTGGAATATGAAATCAAGACTAATCACCCTGACTCAGCAGGTGAGCTGTCGCCACTGACTGAAGAAAAAACTGTGACAGAGCTGTTAAAATCTCACAGGCCACACTTATGAGAAATGGAATTGGAAAACGGAACTGTAATGACAAAGACATTAATTATAGAGAAATACAGGAAGATGCGTTGTTAACCATTCATGAGTAGAGGTAGGGGATGGTAAAGGAAGAGGAGGAGGTTGAGCTTGAGTGACAGGGTCAAGATGCCTTTCGTAAAAGGAGGATTAAGAGGAGCAGATATTATACATGGAAATAAAAGGATTTAAATATCTATACTATACTTAGTTTTGCAATTTTAGGTAAAGAAGTCCCTTAATACTAATTTACATCTGTCTTCTTTTTGTATTGTTGGGATAATAGATGTTCTGGCCTATCATAAAAGAATGTTTATACCAAAAACAAAGCATGTAAGGGCCAGGGATTTAGCTCAGTGGTACTATGCCTGCTTGGCAAGCGAAAGGTCCTGAGTTCAATCCCCAGTACAAAAAAAAAAGTATGTATGTGCTATTACTGTGTAAAGAAAAAGACACAGGCATATCAGCCTTTTGAAACACACCCACGAGGGGGTGAAGTATTTTTAAGGAGGTACTACGATGAACGACCAGGAGAGGGGACAAAAAATAAGAACTAAGATACCCATGTAAAGGTACAAATTCCCAATGATGAATGCCATCATATTGTATACCTGAAATGTACCAATAAACTTAATAAAAAAAAAAAAAAAGAATGACCAGGAGAGTAAGAGGAAATGCAGTGTGCTAGAAGCTTACTGATGTTAGAGCACTATGTTCTGTGAGAAGGAGAGAAACAGACGGATGTTTCATGTTTTGGTGTTTGAGACAGGGTCTCACTATGTAGTGCAGGCTGGTCTTGAACTCACTATGTAGCCCAGGCTGGCCTTGAACTCACAGTGATCCTCCTGCCTCAGCCTCCCAAGTGTTGGGATTACAAGTGTGCGCCATCACACCTGGCTTAAACCTTAGCATTTGAGAGAAATACAAAGTATAGTTTCTTCTTACATAATACTTAAATAACATTAAACTTCTGGGACCATTAGAAGGTCCTGTTGTAAATCTCCAATAGTACTGATAGACAAAATATCCTGTGTTTTGGGGCAACATCAAAATATGACAAAAAAATTCAGATCTGCTGTGCTGTGATGGGTTTTGCAGTGAGTTATAAATGTTAATAAGACTTTCATTTGAGATATTAAGAACTATCAGGCTGGGTGTAGCTGAGCAGGAGAGTGCCTGACCAACATGTGATAGGTGCTGGGTTCAATGCCCAGCATTGCAAAGCAAATTTTTTTAAAAACCAAGATTTTATATTTTACCAAACATCAAAATTTGATCAAGCACAAGCACAAGGACCTGAGTTCGATCCCCGCTAACAAAAAAAAAATTGATCAAGATCCTTAAAATTCTCTTTACCTTTTGCCACTGTCAGCCAGGACACCTGTGTGTATGTAATTCAGAAAAAACAATGGGAATCTTGTTTTGAGACAGGGTCTCCCTGTGTCATTCAGGCTGTCCTTGACCTCTCTATGTAGCCCAGGCTGGCCTAGAACTCACAGTGATCCTCCTGCCTCAGCCTCCTGAGTGCTGGGATGCGTCACCATGCCCAGCAGACTCCCTTTCTAAGACAATACACTAAGACTGTAGTGGTGGTGGTGTCTCTTGTACTAAGTGCTCCTGATCAAAGGGTTTTTGATGGTCTTTGGGGGAAGGTGACAAAGATCTACCAACAGGTTGAGGCCTACAATGTAAAAGAGACTGCTATAATAGACTATAATTCTTGCTGCTTTAAGGTAATAAGTTTTTTCCTTTGTACTGATATAACATACAGAACACAGCAGAGGAAAAATTATTATTAATGACAGTGGAGGTTCTGACATGTCTACTCCTGTGCCTGGCCTGGTCTAATAGGGTATTCCTGAAAAGGCTATAAGCCTGGTCTTAAATGTCTATACTCACTTTTTTTCTTTTTTTTGAGATAGGGTCTCACTATGTAGTTCAGGCTGGCCTCAAATTCACAGTGGTCCTCCTGCCTCAGCCTCTAGAGTACTGAGATTATAGACATGTGCCACCATGCCTGACCTGATACTCATTTCTTAGCTAAGGGGTCCCCTTGACTAAGCCTGTACACAGACTGCAACCCAGCTATGTCTAGGTCTATAGGTACCAAGGCCTGGACACACTTCCCACCCACACACCCACTGCCCTGGCCTCTCCATGTCCATCTGGGCTTGGCCAGATTCATGCAGGGCCACTTGACAAAGCATAGTGAAGAAACAATCCAGCAAAACACAAAGGAGAACACAAAAAGTGTTAATTCCTTTCAGCTAGCTTGTAATGAGTCCACCTAAACCATCGTACTTTTTAAATGTAAATCATAAACAAACGTAAATCATAATACTACGGTTTTTTTGTTTTTGGTATTTGAGACAGGGTCTCACTATGTAGTTCAGGCTGGCCTTGAACTCACAGCACCTCCTGTCTCGGCCTCCCTCCTGAGTGCTAAGATTACAGGTGTGCACCAATATGCCTGGCTAACACTAAGGTTTTGTTGTTTGCAGTCAACTGCTTACCTTTGGCTGAACTTTGTCTGAAGCAGAATGCCCTAAATGAAACAAAAAGCCATGACTTACCGCGAGTTCATCACCTTGCATCATGGTCCAGTTCTGTTAAAAGCACAGTTGTAGTTTTTACATGGAAGCCACCACATATTATTGGATTCTCCACGCATCTCCCCTAGAGACTAAATTACTGCTATTCATTTCATGACTAATCCCATTATAATGACAGCTACTTCCTCCATTTCTGTGGCATTCTAACAAGAACAGACAGACCCTTTTCTCATTTTCAATTATTATTGACCAGGTTAGAATGGATCATTCAAAAAAGGCTGATCCAAATTCTCCACAAACCACTGAGACTTGTAGACCCCAAGGTCTACACCTTTGCGTGAACAACTGGCCAACTCAAGCAGATGCCAACAGGACTTTCATGCTGGTCATGTCAACATGCACAACTTTAGTCAGCACAAAGATTTCCCCTTTCACTAACTGATAAATATGGATAGACTGAGGCAGCCAGGCTGGAGTACTGACTGCATTTTGTTTAATATTCAGAACAGAAAAGAATCGCTTCTCGGCCTTTTGGCTAAGATCAAGTGCAGAACAGAAAAGAAGAAAATATATGAATATTCACTCATAGAAGAAAAAAGCGACACACTCTACCTTGAAGCAACTATGGAAATGTTTTTCAAAGAACTGAGATAAAGACTTACCCTTGCTACTCTGAGGAATGCTTATAATTCCAGGATCATTTTTCAACCTAAATGAAACACTTTTTCTCGGTGTTTTTGCTAGTTCAGAAGCTGTAATCCAAAAAGAATATACAAAAAAACTTTTAATGAACAGCAGCAGATAATTAGGGAAATAGCCTTTCAGAAGGTTGTCTCTTCACTCTTTTGCTGTGCAGGTTTTTAGTATGATGTGATCTCATTTGTTGACTGTTGGTATTATTTCTTGTGCCATTGAGTTCTGTTCAGAAAGTCCTTGCCTACGCCTATGCCTTCAAGTTTTACCTATTTTATCTTCCAGCAGATTGTGTTTAACATTTAGATCTTTGATCCATACTGATTTCAGTTTAGTACATGGTGAGAGATACAGGTCTAGATTCAGTCTGTATGTAGATATCCAATTTGTCCAGCACGGTTCATTAAAGAAGTTGTTTTGCCTCTAATGTATGTTTGTGGCCCCTTTGTCAAAGATCAAATAGCTGAATGGGCCTGGAGTTTTCATCTGCATCCTCTATTCTATTCCACTGATCTGCTCCACTGATCCACAGCCAGTACCATGTTGTTTTTAATCACTGAAACTTTGTAATATAACTTCAAACCTGGGATTGTGATGCCTTCTGCTTTGGTCTTGTTGTGTAAGACTGTTTTGCTATTCTGGGTCTCTTTTGGTTCCATATGAATTTTAGGATTATTTTCTTTAGTTCTGTGAAAAATGCTGTTGTTATTTGGATTGGGATTGCATTAAACCTGTATATCACAGTTTGGGAAGTATGGCCTTTTTGGTATCATGGTTGTGCCTCTCTAGAACAGGGGATATCTTTACATTTTCTGATGCCCTCTTTGATAACCCATAAATTCTTTCGTTTTGTTTTTGTTCTTCTGGTACTGGGGATCGAACTCAGGACCTTGCACTTGCAAGGCAGGTGCAGTGTCACTGAGCTAAATCCCCAGCCCCTGATAACACATAAATTCTTTTAAAAAAAAAACCCTAGGTGGGGCTGGGGATTTAGCTCAGTGGTTTCCCCACAAGTGCAAGGACAGAGTTTGATCCCCAGTTCCAAAAAAACCACAAAAAACCCTAGGGCAAGGGATTTAGCTCAGCGGTTCTGCCGCCTGCCTTGAAAGTGAAAGGACCTGGGTTTAATCCCTAGTACCAAAAAAACCCCAAAAACAACCAACTCCCCCCCAAAAACCCCAAAACCCTTATTTCTGATTTTATCACAAAGATAGATAAACCCATCTACATTAAGAGTATGATTTGTGGGACCAGGGATTTAGCTCAGTGGCACCACGACTGCCTCGCAAGTGCAAGATCCTGAGTTCGATCCCCAGCACCAAAAAAAAAAACCAGTACTACTTTTACTAATTTCTTCCCAGTAACTTAAATCTTCCAGTTATGCACAAATTTCTTTCTTTCTTTTATTTTTTTGTACCAGGGATTGAACTTGGGTCCTTGCAATTGTGAGGCAGGCAGCGAACCACTGAGCTAAACCCCTGGCCCAATGCATAAATTTCTTAAAAAACAAAACACAGAGCCGGGGATCTAGCTCAGTGGTTTCGCTGCCTGCCTCGCAAGCACAAGGACCCAAGTTCAGTCCCCGGTACCAAAAACCACAAAGAACTATTTTTTCTTTCTTTCTCTTTTTTTGGTACCAGGGATCGAACTCAGGACCTTTCGCTTGCAAGGCAGGCATGATGCCACTGAGCTAAAGCCCCGGCCCAACCTTGCTGCTTTTTGTAATTATTACTTTCCTCTCTTCTCCATCAACAATTAATACTCTTGCCATTTGTTAATGTGTATACTGAAGCTCATCTTCATTAAGGGTACAAGGGCCAGAAAGTAGGCTCTAACGTTGAGTATGTGTACGTTATATTTTAAGGTCTCTCAAATCACCCATAATGTGTGATTCTTTATTTTGTGTCTAAAACTCTACAGTACATAAGACTCCTGGAGGAAATGTACCATGATGGTGAATAGATGGCTGCCTCTTTGAGCAGCAGGTGCAAGGCTGGCTTCTGGAAGACATGGAGTGCGGGAGCTCAGGGTCACCCTGGAGCCCAGCTCCAGTCGGTCACTCCTGACCACAGCCCCACGCACATCCTCACCCCTCACCCTGCCCTCACGCTGCTCTTCCTTGCCCCACACAGCCAGCATGGGCTCTGACACCAGTCTGACCAGGGAACGGCTGTCCTTACAACTACCCATGGCTTCTACCCACGGATGGAGATGTGTACTCCACTGCTGGACACACAGGCCCCTCCTATCAAGCCCTAGAACTCCTTTACCAGAGTCCACTGTAATCTGTGCTCCAACCATGCCTCAGGACACCGCAGATGCCTGCAAGGGTCACACACTTTCTGCTGAATACCCCCTTCTCCCTGTCTTCCTAACAAATCCCCATCTACCCTTCAAACACTAGCACTACCAGCTCTACAGAATTCCTTGATTTTCCCCAAAAGATGCCTTTCTACTGTGAGCAGCCACTGTGTCTCATACATAACTCTATGGAGGCTGGGTAGCAACAGTGAAGGGTACAAGCTTTGAAGTTAGACAGGCATAAAATCTACACCTGGCTCTGCCATCTGTGATTTTTATGCAAATTATAGGCTTTTCTAGATGCGCACAGATAGATATCTATATGATAAAAACTGTGCTCAGTGCTTATGTAAATTGATGTCAGATGTGTAACCCTACCAAATACTATAAAATACAGACAGATTTAACCTCTCTGTCCTGGACTGCATGGAGCACAGCCCAACCTATAACTGTTCAAGAGTGAGTCCTATCATTACTACAGAATCATAAAAGAACAATTTGTTGTTGCTCCTTTTATTTCTATCCATATGTATACTCTTCACCAACCTGTGTCTTAATCATTGTGATGTCCTCATTTTTCTACAGAAGGAGGTCAACAAATGACTGATGAATCATTTTCAAGGAACAGCTTCATCACGTAGACTTTCAAATACTACTCATATACATTTATGTAAATGTTTCTCTATCATACAAACAACATTTTAGTATATGTGCTGCTGAAGTGAGCACTCACACAAATAACATTATTCTATACATAGTATAAAGCTCTTATTTAATGAACTCAAAATATCCAAGTGCGACTCTCAATTCATTCATTTCACAAAGTTTGTTAAGAACCGAAGCCACATACTGTGGGGAGAACAAACGAACAAGACTGACTTCCTACCACGGAAACGAGCACTCTACTTGTGAACCAGAGCATTTGAACAGTAACTAAGTATTGGCAGCGTGCTTAGCACCCTCCTGCTGGCTTGTCCCATGCTGTGCAACGGGAGGGTCACACGGGTGCTTTGAGACACACAAGTCCTGACCCCACTGCAGGCATGCTAATATGCTACAAAACAATGTCATTCTTTCAGGGAGTGCAGTAGAACAACAGCTGTGGGAATATGGCTAAATACATCTTAGAGGGCCGGGGATTTAGCTCAGTGGTTCCGCCGCCTGCCTTGCAAGCACAAGGACCCGAGTTTGATCCCAGGTACCAAAAAAAAAAAAAAAAAAAGTAAATACATCTTAGAAAGGACAAATAATGACTATAGAAATCAGAAAAGCAACATACCTAATTTAGCCATCTTTTCAGGGCGTTTTCTATTCTGAAAAGAATAAACTTTATTCCCACCATCTGTAGCAGAGCCATTTTTCAAAGATTCTGAAAGAAAATGTAATACATACATACAAAGGGGTAAAGTTAACTAACAAGAAAAAAAAAAGCTAAAATTTAACTAAAGACATAAGTCAGACTTCTTACCACACTGCATAAAGGTTCACCAAATCATTCTTTGTTTTGCACCAGGGATCAAACTCCGGTCCTTGTGCCTGTGAGGCAGGTGGCAGCACCACCGAGCTAAATCCCCGGGGCCTACCAAATCATTCTTTTTTTTTTTTCCCAGATCATTCTTAAAATCTATACTTTTTTCTACCCCCAGTTCTGGGGATTGAACCCAGGGCTTCACGCATGCCAGGGAGGCGTCGTATCACTGAGCTCCCAGCCATTCTAAAAAATATTCAGACAGGTCCTAAGGAGCTGTCCTGGGACTGGACACCTCACCCTCAGCCTCATCCCAGGTGCCTCCCAAGAGTGACATACAACATGCCACCTTTATAATCAGAAACCATCTTTAAGAAAACAAATGGCCAGGGATGTAGCTTAATGAGTGTGTGCTTAGCATCCACAAGGCCCTGGACTTGAGCCCCAACACTAAAAAACAAAATTAAAAGTTTCTCTTTTGGAATATTGTTTCTGTTTTACTTGTTTATTTACGGGTGTTTTGGGGATAGGTTCTCACTATGTAGCCTATGTTGCCCTCAAATTCTCAGCAATCCTCCTAGCTCAGCCTTCCAAGTACTTGGATTACAGGCATGTGCTACCATTCCTGGCTCAGAATACTGTTTTTAAGATCTTCTCAGGGCTAGCATAATAAGCAGTCATGAACCCAAAGTTCTATTCAGAATATGTCCTAAGAATATCAACTGTGTAGTTAGGAACAATAAGGAGACTCAACTACTTCCCAGATAGGCCTAACCAGGGGCCATGGTTCACTAAGCTGAACTAAATCTAAATCTATTCTTGAGAACCTAGAATGGGGGAACTAAACCAGAAGCAGCATTATGATTTAAGAAGCGAGCAAAGACAGTTGGGTATGATGGCACATGCCTGTAACCCCGGCACATGCCTGTAACCCCAGCACTTGAAGAGGTTGAAGCAGGATTATCCTGAGTTTCAGGCCAGCCTGGGCTTCACAGCAAGACCCTGTCTCAAAAAAACAAAGAAAGAGGGCCAGGAATGTAACTCAGCAGCCTGCCTGGCAAGCACAAGGCCCTGAATTCGATTCCCGGAACCAAAATAGAAGAACTGAGGAGGGTCAAGAGTGGTCACGATGGTCATTTACAAGGTATGAGTAAAGACACATATACGGGGGAGACAGGAGGCACAGAATGACCGGGTGGACAGAGATGACCCAGGGAGCCGGGGTTCCGTGAGAGCAAAGCCCCTCAGTTGCCAATGCCGAACTATTTCCAGTGCTCAAAGTGACCAACAATACTCATTTCTCTCCTTGATTTTTATTTATTTATATTTTTGGTACTGGGGATCGAACTTGGGTCTTTGTGCTTGTGCAGCAGGCAGCGAAACCAAGCTACATCCCCGGCCCATTGATTTTTATTTTTTAGGCCTGTTTAAGTAGATCTGTATTCCTTACTCCCAGAAGAACCCTAACTAAAATATAATTCAAACCTAAAATATGTTTTAAGTATTATCAGACAGGACTTTGTCTTAGGTATAAAAAAAGCACACTACAAGCATGTCTAGACTGGAACAACACTACTTTTTGGAACATTTCTTCTATTTCTACAGAGAAGATCAAGGTAACAATGAAGGGACTTGTTTGTTTTTTGCGTACTGGGGATCAAACGCAGGACCTTGTGCTTGCAAGGCAGATGGCGGCACTACTGAGCTAAATCCCTGGCCCCTTGAAGTGACTTATTTTATGAAATTATTTACAGTTGGGCATGGTGGGATAAGGCTGCAACCCCAGCACTTGGGAGGCTGAAGCAGAAGGACCTTAGTCAAGGCAGTGAGATCCTATCAAGAAAGGGAAGGGGAGGGACATTTCTTCCCAAACCCACGAGAAAGACTCTGCAGAGCCTGTAATATGTGTGATACTTTGCCACTGTTTAAAAAATAGAATAGGCTGGGGATTTAGCTCAGTGCTTCCGCTGCCTGCCCCGCAAGCACAAGGACCCAAGTTCGATCTCCGGTGCCAAAAAAAAAAAAAAATAGAATAACTGTATTTCTTTATTTTTTGGTACTGGGGATTGAATCCAGGGCCTAATGCCTGTGAGGCAAGCGCTCTATCACTAAGCTATAGTCCCAGCCCTCAAGAATAGAGTGGTTCATCTGTAGATTCCTTCTTTCTGAAAATAATCAAGGGCAGGACTGGCTATTTGTTAACAAAAAAGAACTGCAGAGAAAAAACTTCAAGGAAATACTTTTCACATGAGACACATAATTAAAGCACACCACTGTTTGACCTACCAGGCTACTTTTTTTAAGATACCCTACAAAGCAATTTCTGCTCCTAGAAAAAGTATTAATGCATCCCCCGCCATCAAATACCTTGAATGTTTCTTCCCAAAACCTCCACGTAGTTCTGATCCTTTAATACTTCCTGGTCACCTTCCTCCACATCATATTCCTGCTTCTTTATTATTTTTTGTGGATTGACCAAAAGCTGAGCTCGCTCCTTCTTTAATTTAGTGCCTAGAAAAACACCCAAGGAATTAGAACATGGCAGGCATGGATCTTTCCTAAGTATTAACCCGCCCCCCCATATTGGAGACTGAACTCAGGACCTTGCACTTGCAAGTCTAAGTATTAAATTTAAGTAAGTAAATGAACTTGTACAACTTAAATGGTCAGTAAACAGAAGCTGGGAAGTGTTTTATCTTTGAGTAACAGTCTTGACCAGCTGGGTATGGTGGCACAGATCTAGAAATCTCAGCACTTGAAGGGCAGGAAGAGGCAAAAGGATCAAGAGTTTGAGACCAGGGCGGGGGATTTAGCTCAGTGGCACCACACCTGCCTTACAAGTGCAAGGTCCTAAATTTAATACCTGGTACCAAAAAAAAAAAAAGTTTGAGACCACCAGAGACCCAGTCTCAGAAAAAAAAAAAAGGAAGTACTGACAATGAGTTTAGCCAATGACCATAACCTTGGATAAAAAAAAAAAATCAAAATCTTGAAGATGTTTCTTTTTGAGGGTCAAAGTAATCACACACACCCCCCCCACTGGGGATCCAACTTGGGACCTTGCACCTGTAAGGCAGGTGCAGCGCCACTGAGCTAAATCCCCAGCGTAATCACGTATTTTAAATTACAGTAGGTAGTTATTATTTACCTGTACAACTGAGAATTTCCTTTAAATAGGCTATATTTTAAATTTCAATTAAAGTTTTAAAGAAGTCTCGGGAAATTGGAAGTAAAATGTTCAAATGGGAAGGGGAACAAGGGAAGAGGCAGGGAGAAAGAAAGGGACAGGAAAAAAAGTGGAAATAGAGGGAAAAATGGAAAAAACCTTCTGTACATAGGGAGGGGAGGGGGATGGGAAAAGAGAGATGGGAGGTTATCACGCACAGGTGCAGATTCCCTGGGATGAGTGTTACTATCACGTATGTCTAAAATGTACCAATAAATGTTGTGCTTTTAAAAATAAAAATAAAGTGGGCTGGGGATTGAGCTCAGTGGTTCTGGCGCCTGCCGTGCAAGCACAAGGTCCCGAGTTCGATCCCTGGTATCAAAAACAAAAAAAATGCTGGGAAAAATAAAAATAAGGAAGTCCATGTTAGGAATTGGTGGTGCATGTCTGTAATTTTAGCACTGTGGGAGGCTGAGGTAGGACTGTCAAGCCCAGCCTGGGCAACTTAATGACTCATGAAGACCCTGTCTCAAAACTTAAAATATTTTTAAAAAGGGCTGGGGATTTGGGGTCAATCCCTAGTCCAGTCCTGCCCCCTCCCCAAAAGTTTGAAATAAGTAAATGAAAAATCAGTTAAGTCTTATTAGATCAAGTACTTTGTGCTGTATTTTCAATATAAAATGTTAAAATATTTTTAAAAATGAAATGATCTATAAGCATCTCTTCAATACAATCACTCAGTACCTCCTTCTCTATCAAGAATATGATTAAGAACATCATCATCTCCCACAAATTGAACCTTCAGCATCTTGTCTTCCTTTAATTCCAGTTTATTCATCATGGCCAACCTAAACAAAAGCAATAAACCATCATGACAGAGAATTTGCACTAACTGCCACGTAAACTTAACACTCACATCATAATAATAAATACATGCACTTGCTTTGCATTTTAAGTCTTTTAAAGCAGAAAGCAGGGCATGGTGGCATTCACCAGCATTCTTGGCTACCTGGGAGGCTGAAGTACGAGGATCACCTGAGCCCAGGAGTTCAATACCAGCCTGGGCAACCCTGGGAGACCTCATCTCAAAAGAAAAAAAAAAAGCAGGAAAAATATATTAACATTATTGTATCATTATGTTTTTGACTGTCAGTAACTTAATAATTTATGTGAACAACAGGTTAAGAAGAGACACCTGTAACTTGCAGCACTAACCCCAACCACAGTAACCAGTATATAATCTCAGGAAAACATTCTGCTTATAAAGACAACTGTAACCTACCAATTTAACAACCACATTAACAGAAACAGGTGGCTAACATATGAGAGTCTAGAAAAGGGGCGATCAAAGAGTAAAGGTTTGGTAGATTTTATATTTGGTTCACTGGAAAGATGCAGTTCACAGGGAGTCTGCGACACAGTGACCAAGCTGGATCAAATAACCCGCAAGGACCACCCTTATGTCGGAATTCTGACTCTGGCTTTCTAGACATCCCGGTAACAACACAGTAAATACACATCTTTCCAGCACATTATAGCCATTTCCTCACTGAATGAATTTTAGAGTTTGGCAAGCTAAAGCTTGACCAGCTCTGGCTAAACAATATTTGACTTCAAAATTTAATTTTCTTCCCTCTCTACTCTTACAAACTGTTTTTGCCTTTCCTTCTGACAAAAGGAACTACTGACTGTAACTCATGAGTTAGTGATTTGTATTCAGATTACATGTCACCAAGTCTTTCGACAACTGGCATTCGTAAATGACTCATTTCAGTTTCATTTACCTTTTAAAATACTATACATTCTGCAGCTTTTAAGGTACTATACATTCTGTAACTGGAAAAAAAAAACTCTTTTGTGTTATATATATCAAATGAAAACAACAGGTCTTTGAATTTAAAGAACAAGATAAATAGGGACCTGTGGTGGCGACCAGCAGGCAATCATGGATCAGGTAATGCAGTTTGTTGAGCCAAGTCGGCAGTTTGTGAAGGACTCAATTAGGCTGGTTAAAAGATGTACCAAACCTGACAGAAAAGAATTCCAGAAGATTGCCATGGCAACAGCAATAGGATTGGCTATCATGGGATTCATTGGCTTCTTGTGAAACTGATCCACATCCCCATTAACAATATCATTGTGGGTGGCTGAACACCTTCTGGAAGAATGTTTTTCTTCTTGGCATCTTAGGGGTTTGGAGAAGCTCATGAAGTAAAAACTTGCCTGTGAGCTTTGTGTTTCTCTTTTTCTTTTCCCCTAATAATGTGTTTTCTATTTGTAAATTAAAATAATATCAGAATAAACAGATTTCTCTAAAAAAAAAAAAAAAGAACAAGATAAATAAAGGTCCTTACAAAGTTGCTATAATAGTAGAGTACAGGACAAAACTATCTTCACCTCCTGACCAGAGTGTGCGACCTAGAGGCTAAGGACATCTGGATGGGGGTGGTGGGATAGAGGACAAAACTGAAGCACTTACTATTATTGTAGTACTTAAACATGTAAAGTACTATATTTTCATTTATTCCTATGAGGCAATATTTTGTATATATAGATAAAAAATATTTCATCTATAATTTATATAAACCCCACTAGTAAAATGCCCTCCTGGCCATTTTTTTAGTCATTATACTACTTTCTGTTCGGGAAACTCATATTAGAGAAAAAGTTTAATGCATTTATATGATAGTTGTATAAAATAAAAAAACTAATGATTTATTTTTGTATAAAATAGATTTTTGAGGAACTGCATGTCACACACTGTATCAGGCACTTTTATGTACACCAGCTCATTAAATCCTTGGAGTCTTTCAGGTAAGTATTTTGTGTATGTGTGTGTATAATTTCCCCAATTTACAGATAAGTGAGATGAAATACTAAACATTCACCCAAATTCACAATATCAGAAAGTGTGTTAGTGTTGAAACCCAACTTGACTTGATTCCTAAATTCTTGGTCATTCTATTACACTATAACTTTTCCTGCCACTGCACAAAAACTTGTTATCCAAACTGTTCTGACCTCTGGAAACTATTCATAATATGTCTAATCATTTTCCATGTGTCAGCACTCCAAGTATCTAAAGGCTTCTACTGTCCCATGTTTCCAGATCATCAGGTTAAATGTCACTAACTCTATCAAGCATACTTCAAAAAACATGGCCAGATTCAGCATAATCTATATTATTTTTACTTAATTATACATTAGTGCATTCGATACAGGATTTTACTCAGTGACAATGAGCAACTGCAATGAAATGAATGGGTAAAGTTCAAATACTAACAAGGAGACTGGATAAAGAAACATAAATAAAAGGGAAACAAAAATTCTGAAAGACTTTTGGCTTTGTGCAACATAGCAAGTCAAGAAAAAGAGTAAAGGCATGTTACATAATTCTCATTAGCAAAAACTTAGCAGTTCTTTAGGGGGTGGAGTTTCAAGCAAACTTTATTATTATCATTTTTTTTTGGAACTCGAGACCCTGCGCTTTCGAGGCAGGCAGGGGAACGAACCACTGAACTAAATCCCCGGCCCTCAGTGAAACTTTTTTTTTTTTGGTACCGGGGATCCGGGGATCGAACTCAGTCCTGGAACTTTCGAGGCAGCCCTCGAGGAAACTTTATAAAAAAATATTCTAGGCAAGTGAATACTGCCCCAAGCGGTTTCCCGATGGCAATTTAAGAAAGAAGTGCCTGCACCTGCATAAAAAAAAAAAAAAAAGAAGAACAAGAAAGAATTTCCTGGACAGAGGCAGCCTAACTCACTCAAGTCTTGTTTGTAGCCAAGTCCATCTTTCTAGATTTGAGGCATCTTAAGTAAAACAAACAAAATCATCACAACTGAAGAAATTTATAGCAAGACCTCTTAAAAATTTCATTCCTTTCCAACAGTTCCAGAAAAAACACTACCTACCCATCACACAATAAAATGAAAATATGCACAGTGACTATCTTCTGTCCTTCAAGGCACTGTCTTGGGCGTGTTTACAGGTCACCTCCTTTCAAGGTGTCAAGACAGGGCAGCTGCACCAGGCGCTAAAGGCAACACACTTTTCCCTGTGATTAAATAAAGGACTGACGCAATTTTTAAACGTACAATTCTTTTTAACGGTGGTACAGATCAGTGACTGTAGCAGTAGTAGCAGCAGTACCACATGACCTGGGTTTAACTGCAACTCCACACTTCACAGCTGGATGACTGTCCAAAGGCACAGGATGAAAGGGGACCCTGCGCCCGCCACACCGAGCGCTCATTAAGCGTTCCCTGTTTTCGGTCTGTTCCCTCGGGTTCAACGTCAACATGCAGGCCCCGGTGTGGTCCTCTGGGGCTCGGGTCCCACACAGCAGAAAAAGGCCCAGTGGACGAGGGGTGGCGTCCGGGGATCGGTGTAGGACACCAAGGGGCTGCACTATTTTTCTTCAGACGGCAAATTACCTGGGAGAGGTGTCACGGCTGCCTAAGGGTACCAACTACAAAACGAAAAGCAGCGTCTACGCGCCGGGACCGAGCTCCTCCGGGACCGGAACGCAGCGCAGCGCAGCTCCTGGCCGGGATGCGGCGCGCGGGGCTCCGTCGCCCCCACAGGCCCCGCCTGGCTCCTCCACCTGCCCTCTGCGCCGCGCCACACGGTGGACGCAGGAGTGCAGCGACCCTGCCGCCCGAGCTGCCGGAGAGTGCTCACCTCAAACGCAGAAGAATCGCTCTGTCTCCGCGGGGCGCGGCTGCGGACGCCTCACGACCGACCCACGCTGCCCTGCTGAGCTGTGGCCGTGGGGAAGGCGGCCCTGCCGCAGAGAGACAGGCCGAGACCTCATCCACACCACAGGAGCTGGAGGGAGCGAGCCCACCCAGGGCGACGGGAAAGGAAAACCTGCGCGGGACACACCGAATCTCCCGCCCTGCTCGGGGGCGGTGCCCAAGGCAGCCAATAGGAAGCGGAGTTGGTCGAGAGCGACGGTTCTGCCAACCAGTCACCGCCGGCCAGTGGGTTTACCCGGACGGAAATCCGAGGAAAATGAATCCCTGAATGCTGGGTTCCGGCCTTCCTTTCCCTGTGCTTCCGGGAGAGGAGGAAGTGTGAGGAGGCTTGGGACGTCGCTGCTGAGCGCCTGAGCGCTTGCTATGGAGGGAGGTGTCCGTCGGCTTCTCCAGCTGCCTTCTTTAGAGGAAAAAGGTAATGGGGAAGGATTCGGTTTAGAATTTCGCTTCCTTATTTAGCGCGAAAGGCAGCACGCCGGTCGGCTGAGGGTGTGGGGAGGCCGGGCGGGGCTGTCGCTGGGGAGGGCTGCGCCCCTGAGCGCTGCCCAGGTTGTGGAGGAAAAGATGGAGGCCCTCCCCCGGGAGCCGCGAGGGAGCCAGTTGAGAGAAGACTCGACGGTGTCCCGGATGCCTCAGTGCACCGGCTTGGATGGCGGCACTTAGGACTGACGGAGGGCGGGCGAGGGGCTCAGAAGTGCGTGGAGCGTAAGCTTGGCGTGTGCACACCAGCACCACACGCGTACACCTGCAGTTTGAGAGGTGAGTACCGATAGCTCTCGGGAATGACACCCGTTTAACGACTTTTCAGACGAGACCCCCTGCTCGGATTTTCCTCGCACCTTTTTTTTTGTACAGTTCTGTACATCTTGTTTGTAGAGCCTCAATTTCCTTTTTTGTACAGTACTCCCTGTTCATACAGTACTATAATTTTTGCCGATTGTACTATATAGTGCTGTAGTTTTATGTTCCATGTTACAGTACTGCATGTAAGAGTTACGGAAATAAAACCAAACTCATAAAGTTGAAGTTCCTTTGACCGCTTCTTTGTGTGAGACCAAAGCCACTCCATTTTGCTAAAATCCACCATTCCCCTAGCCTCTCAAATTAATGATTAAAATGTGTTCGCTCTGGAACAAAAGATACAATCTGTAACAAACCAAAGTTCCTAAGTTAATTACTCAGCCATCTGTTTACCCAGGAAATGAACATCCTGGGCCCACTATCTGTAGGAACCGTCTGTCAATGTGCTGACTGTCAGTGCTGAGTGGTCGTGACCATTAGTCACCGTGTCTGCTGACCATCAGCACGTGACAGTTGCCCACTAACCTTTGTCCTTCTTTTCTTTTGTAAAACCTATACATAATCCCCCCTTACCCCGATGAGTTCAGCCAATCAAAAATGTACACTTCATGCTCGCTAAATGTTAACCAATCATGTAACTGCTAAGTGGAAAATCTCCAAACCTTGCTGTAACCTCTATAAAAACCCCGCTAATTTGGAACTCGGGGCTCTCAATCTCGATCCGCTGTGTCGGTGACAATTGAGAGTCCCTGCTTAAGCTTGAATAAACGACCCTCATGTGCTTACATCGGAAACGGCCTCCTGGTGGTCTTTGGGACCTTACAATCTGGGCACAACATTTGTTCTGAATGTTGTCATGTCCGTACTCTATACAATTCCTCATTTAGCGGCCAATTCATTTAATGGCTCTGTCGCAGTACCATCAAGGAATGTCTATAAGAAAACCTGAGGGCTGGGGATTTAGCTCAGTGGCCCCCGAAGCTGTCTCAAGCTCAAGGTCCTGAGTTTGATCCCCACTACCAAAAAAAAAAAAGAAAGAAAACAGGAGGTACTTGAAGAGTGCTTAAAAATTTGAAGACCTAAAAGTATTGAATAGATATGTTTAGTTAATGTATTATGTTTCTTTTTTTTTTTTTTTCCTTTGGTACCAGGGATCAAACTTGGGACCTTGCGCTTTTAGGGCAGGTGGTGGCACCACTGAGCTAAATCCTCAGCCCCTATTCTTTATGTTTCTATAATGTAATTAAAGTCCACTGCTCCCAAGTCTCAAATAAAGTCTTCTACAGACAGAGGCTGTCTTCTTCACTTTCTTGTCCCTGGGACACAATACCCAACACCTACAATTTAAAGGAGGAAATGTTTATTTTGTTTACTTTTTTTTTTTGGTACTGGGGATCGAACTCGGGACCTTGCGCTTGTGAGGCAGGAGCCGGAACCACTGAGCTAAATCCCCGGCCAATTTTGGGTCATGATTTTAGTTGGTAGTTGCCTGGCTCCAAGGCCATGTGACATGGCGGAGGGGCCTGGTGGAAGAAAAGCTGTTCATCTCTTTGTGGGAGCAGAGTCTGGGGAGGAGCTGGTGAGAGAGGGAAACCCATCCATGCCAGACTCGCAGTAACCTGTCTCTTCCAACCAGACTCCCATCTGCTAACAGCAAGTCAGCCATAAGCCCCCATAATCCATTTACTTTTCAAAGCCTCACCTCTGAGCACATGATGCTTTGGGGGACATTTTAGATAACATTCTGCCCCAGCCCCCCAAAAGACTGATGCACATCCCTTTATGCAAACAGATTTAGTCCATCTCCAAATGTTGCCAGATCCCTAACAGTTTCAGCATTGCTGAAAACTCCAAATCCAAAGTCTCTTGTAAGACTTAAGGCAAATTTAGCCTGAGCCCCTGTAAAAATCTAAAAGAAAATTAAACACTGCTAACAGAATGGCACAGGGTAAACATTCCCATTCCCAAAAGGAGGATTAGTGGGGTAGAAACCAGTGGTACCAAAGCAAGACTGAAACCCAGCAGGGCAAACATTGAATCTAGCAATTCCATGTCCAGCACCCAGGGCAAGCTGTGGCAAGATGTGAATTCCAAAGGGCATTTCCCATGCTTGTACGCCTCATGGCTTCTCATGGGCAATCTTTACTCACTCCTTGTGGTTTTTCCTCAGACATCCCACATTCTGGGCATCTCTAGCTTTCTGGGTCTCCAGTGCACCTTCAGCTTCACTGTTACAGCTTCACCCTGTGAGATTACTGAAAAAGTGAAAGGACAGAAGAGATAAGTTTTAGTTTTTTGGCTTTTTTTTTTGTACTGTAGATCGAACTCAGGACCTTGGGCTTGCAAGGCAGGAGCAGCACCACTGAGCTAAATCCCCAGCCCAAGATAAGTTTTAGTTTTGAGCATCTTGTGTTAAAGTACTGTTCCTGAGGGTCTTCAGTTAGCCTGCAGCCAGTTGGATACAGGAGTCTGAAATGCCCTCCAAGAGCTCAAGGCCTAGAGGTAGAGACCCAGGGGTCATCAGCATGCAGTTAAAGTCAGTGTTAGTAACAGAGGAAAGTGCTCATTCATTTTGTAGAGACTGAGAACATGGTACGGTGAGGAAGCTTTGGAACAGAAACTGAAAGGAATGGGAAAGTGGAGAGGATGAAGTGTGGGAGGCCCAAGGTTGGAGCCAGGAAGCCGTACTGGTCAGTGTAATGTTCAGTGTCCTGGGTGAAGCAGACTGAGGTGCATTTATGCCATGGGTTAGGGTTACTACTTACATTGTCTGTTACTGTTTTATATATTTCTGTAGGGAAAAAAGTCCTCACTGAGGCTGGTTCTGGGCAGAAAGGAATAACTTAGCTAAGCCAAAGACAGGAGAATGACCTGGGGAGCTTTCAGAACGACCAGTGCCAGATCCTGTTAGCAGACATTCAAATGGGGCTTGACCATCAGGTTTTTGTTTTTTTTTTTTAGGATTTTTTTCTTTTAAATTCCCAGATTTTTTTTTTGAGACAGGGTCTCACTATGTAACTAACTCATGGCAATCCTCCTGTTTCAGCTTTCTGAGTGCTAGGATTACAGGCATGTGTCACCAGGCCTGGCTCTGGAAAGTTTTAATATGCGGCTAAGACTGAGAACCAGTGAGCTAGGGAAAATGAAAGAAATGAGGATGTTAGCTCTGGGTTCCATTCCCAGTATGGCACCCACACACAGCAGAAGTGATAAGCATCTTCAGTAGAGGTGAAGTGATCTAGATACTATGCTCTGCACACACTTAATGAGGGCTCAGTGGGCCTAGAGCCATGATGGCGAACCTTTCAGAGAGCAAGTGCACAAACTGCAACCCCAAACCCACTTATTTATCTCAAGTGCCAACACTGCAGTTAAACTTGAACACTGAAGGGGTTTTTTTAGGAAAAACAACTCACATTAAAAGAAAAACAGTAACAGGCCTTTCAGTGATACAACCTTCTAGTCTAGAATGTCAGTGGCAAATACCTCAACAAATAATTTTTGTCCAGTTTTTTTGTTTTTGTCTCAACTGTCCTGGGGGATGAACCCAGGGCCTTCTGCATGCTAGGCAAGTGCCCTACCATTGCTTTGGTCAGCTTCACCCTGGCCACTGAACACTACGCTGACCAATACGGCCTCCTGGCTCCAACCTTGGGCCTCCCACACTTCATCCTCTCCACTTTCCCATTCCCTTCAGTTTCTGTCCCAAAGCTTCCTCACTTTACCATGTTCTCAGTCTCCGCAAAATGGACGAAGCCTCTAGTTTGATTTACCGACACTCCCCAGGTGAGTCTCTGTTTGCCTTTTTCATTTATTTTGAGACAGGATCTCCCTAAATTGCCCAGCTGGGATTACAGGTGTGTGCCACTGCGTCTGGCTTTCTAACTGGGTATTTTTTTTAACTGTTGATTTGATACTCAGGAAAGAAAAACTGATTACTTCTGAGCACCCAGGAGTAAAAGGGAATATGACTACTAGAACCTATTTTATCTCTAGGCTTTTTTTGTGCAAGGAATAGTGAAGCAGTGATTCCCTGACATAGCATGTGTAAGATAACCTCACTAATGAGTGAAAGATTTGGCAGAGTACAGACCACACGCACACAGAGTGTATACAGAGTAATCAAAAGAATGGGTAACCAGCTTTAGAAAATAATTCTCAATAGAGTTTGTATAAAGCCACTATTTACAACAAAGTTGTAAATAAGCTAAATATAGATTTCTTAAAATTCTGTGTTTACTTGCAAGAAATTTGGAAAACCTATGTTTGGAGGAATTCTCTACAAAATATTGGGTATACTAAAATTTAGGTGTGCTGGAGCCTGAGGCAGGAAGATGAGTCCCAGCACAACCGGCGCAACTGAGTGAGAAACAAAAAAATTAAAAATAAAAAGAGCTAGGGCTGTAGCTCATCATGAAGGCTCTGAGTTAAATCTCCACTACTGCAAAAACAAAACAAAAAACAAATAGAGGCCACGGGTGCTACTCATTGGTTAGAGCCTGCCTAGCATGTATGAGGCCCTGGGTTCCGTTCCCAGGACTGTTTACAGAATTTTTTTTTATTGAATGTAATAGTGTTTTGCTTAAATTATACATATTTTAGAACTATGTAATG